AAAAGGAAAGTCTGGAGTGAGACTAGAGAGAGAGAGCACACGATGTTCGCAGCAGTGGAGAGACTTTGGACTACAAGCTAAATGGGTGCTGGTTTTGTATTTTGTCCTTTATATTGGGGTCATGTGACATCACAACATTCCACAGAGGCTATAGTTTAACATTGTGATGGAGAGAAGTTGAAAAATCCTTCCTGGCAACAACGGTAAGAGTCAAAAGTCAATGTAATGTATTTTTGTATCGCCACAAATCACAACAGCAGTCGTGTCTGCGGCTTTAGAAAGTTGTCATTTCACAAAACCACTCAAAAAACCCTGTCTCATAGTCCAACTTCCAGTCTGAATTTTTTGCTTTTTTGTTCTTCATTCCTGGACCAATCCAAGTGAAACAAAATCAGTGACAAATGCAGCTTAAAGACCTTATGACGGGTTTGATTTATTTAGAAATACAGTTTTAATACCATTTTATATTAGAAGAGAACTACTAAAGGTTTCAAAATCAGTTGTTGTTTTTTTTGTCTGATCCCCCCAAATCGAAATAACCCCATAGCAACGCCCTTAGAAACGAAAAAACTTCACAGCCCTTGGTGACGTCAGAACGGGTACGTTTCAACGCTGTAAGTTGTTTACAATTTGGTATTCGTTCTTTTTTCGCGGATATTCAAGATGACAAGGCCGTGTACAGCGAGTCTGAGATAACTACTAGATTGTATCATTTCGTTGTCACTGAGATAGCCCAGTGGTTGTGTCGATGGACTGCCAATCCAGATACTTGGGTTCAAATCCCTCCTAGAACTTAAATTCATGAAAAACACGTTCTTTTTATAAAATATAGGATTTTTTTTGCCGGAATCTCTTTCAAATTGACATTGTCATGCAATTTTGATATCCACTATTTTTTTTTAAAAAACCCGTCATAAGGTCTTTAAGTGGAAGTTCAGACTGGTAGACTATATCCACGTCACTGCACCAGCCAATCACGTCAACTTCCAAGCTTCGTCAACTCCCCGGCCAGATGCTAATCAAGCTAGCCGGCGTTTAAAAGCAAGACAGCACTCACAAAACCACCTCAGGATTTCCTAACTCGCTCACATCCACCTTGCCCTGTTGCCACGAGTGTCTAGACCATAGACTGTAAATATTAACAGATGTAGTCTCGCCTATCTCCGCCGTTCTAACTAATGGGCCACAACTTCCGCTGTCTATGGGCAGTATCAAAATGGCCGCGGGGGCTGGGAAATGTGAAAAAATGCATCTTCGCTTGTGCAAACTGCACGAGCCCCATTCATTTAAACGAGTGACTTCAAAATTTCACAGCGAGTAAACTAGACTGGTCCAAAACACCCCCCTCAGCATTGACACACATGTGGAACGGAGCTTTGGGCCAAGAGCTACTTTTGGTCCATCCTGTAAAGACGTTTTTGAGAGGTCTGCCAATGCTATATGTTAGCATTGGCTAATTCTTATTCTGGGTCCACCCCCATCGACCCGAGGTGGTATTGCAGTATGTCAGCGCACGTCATTTTGGCCACTTTTGAGCCGGGACCCGCCCCCACTGGTCTAGGCCCTGAGGGATCATAATAATAATCTAAACTACAAACTAAATTGCAATCAAAACATCTTTTAAACATCTTGTCTCTTGTAAACTCTCTGGATTGAAATGGAGCTGGAGGAAGTGTGCGTGGATATAGGGAAGACTGGGGATTTCGACAGTGACTTGGTAATGGACGGATGGATCGTTCCATTTTGTTTTAGACTTATTTCCTCAGAGTTGTTTTGCCGATCTTGTTGATTCAGTTTTTGAGTTCCTTGTGTATGAACTGTGTTATACAAACAAACCTGCCTCTGTCTTACAGGTATTCAAATGAACATGGCACTTTAATTCAGATGGGATAAACGTATACAATTCAATATATGTAACAACATATATTAAACAACATGTATTAACAAGAGAAAAGCAAGAGAAGTATTTCCCCTTTAACACATTTGTTTTTGCCAGAGTGAATAATGGACGACTGATGGGTATAGAGGAAAGAGACGCTACTGTATGTGAAAATAAAAATAGCACAATAAGAGTGATTTGGAGAGACCCTGCAGGGCTCTCTCTCTCTCTCTCTCTCTCTCTCTCTCTCTCTCTCTCTCTCTCTCTCTCTGTCTCTCTTTCTCTCTCTCTCTGGTCGGTGCTCGGGGCAGAGACACTAACGACGGCGAGAGAAACATGAAAGAAACCGCAAATAAAAGGCTCTATTTAATCTGCGTGAAGAGATTTGTGGAGCGAGAAGCAACGGAGTCTGAGGGGGGAGGGAGGGGGAGAGGGGGAGGAGTAGGGGGGGGGGCGCCAGCGTGACCCACAGAAGTCAAGGAGCAGAGACGCATAACTTTAGTAATCGACCGTCGTGAGCTGTGTATGTGGCCATTTTTTACAGGGGATGAGACATGGAGATATTTCATCTAAAGGCAAGTTTATATGTTTAGCACAGTTCATACACAATGCAACTCAAAGGGATTGACAAAAAAAAGAGTCCAGTCCCTGTGCTCCTCAGAGTCCCAGCAGGAGGCCAGTCCCTGTGCTTCTCAGAGAAACTACACACAATCGTCAATACTAGAGTTTTTGCTGCTGTGTGTCCTTCTTTTTCTCGCTCAAAACTTTCTTCACATGTAGGTTTGGCTTCGGTCTCAGATTTTTCAGCCAGAAAAGCGATAATGAGAGGACCCCCCTCACTCAGCCAATTAGAGAATGTTACTTTTACAAGGCTCTGTAAACAAATCAATTATTTATTAAACAAAAAGCAACATTCCTCAGCCTCAACAGTCCGGTTTAGCCCTGGTCCTTATATGATTCGCAGGTTTTTTGTCAGGAAAACAAAACATACTGTATATTATTTTCATGTTTCTTTTTCTATTCTGTTGTTGTTCTTTGTTCTCGTTTGCCATGGCTCGAAAAATAAAGTATGCACTCATTCAATCATTCATTCAGATCTAATTATGTTTTTAATATTAATCCTAATACACATACGCCCCCCGTTCGCTGCCCTCCCGGCCCCCCCTGGCGCGTACGGCCCTGCTTCATCCACAGAGAGAGTCCGCGTCGCTCCGGGGCTCTCTGGGGAGCGACTCCACACAGTCTCCCATTGATCCCAAAGCGCTTTTTAATACACTGCGGCTGTCATTAGACCTGACACCGGACAATGCGCTCGTCATCGCGGGTTCATAATAAATGTTGGAGAGGCCAAGGCCACGCTCTGGCGCGACGCGTTCAATGTCCGCATTATGACACGTCGCGCTAATTAGACGTAACAGCTAAAAAATGTTTCCTTTTCTTTGCAAACTACGCATCGATCACGACAAGTCAAGACAGATGTCAGAAAGTAGCTTTGAGTCCGTGTCTGTGATAAAGTCTGAGGTCAGGGACTGTTTCTGAGGATCAAAGTTAGAGTTACTGTTACAGTATAGTCACTTTTAGAAATATCTCTTTGGGGTCTCTCTCTCTCTGGTCTCCCTCTCTCTCTCTCTCTAGTTTCTCTCTGGTCACTCTCTCTCTTATACTCTTTAGTATAAGAGTCGCTCTCTCTCTCTTTGGCCTCTCTGGTCTCTCTCTCTCTCTGGTCTCTCTCACTAGTCTCTCTCACTATCTCTCTCTCTCTGGTTTCTCTGGTCTCTCTGATCTCTCTCTCTCTTTGGTCTCTCTCTTGTCTCTCTCTTTGGTCTCTCTGGTCTCTCTGGTCTCTCTCTCTCTTTGGTCTCTCTCTGGTCTCTCTCTCTCTCTTTGGTCTCACTCTCTCTGGTCTCTCTCTCTCTCTTTGGTCTCTCTGGTCTCTCTCTCTCTTTTGTCTCTCTCTGGTCTCTCTCTCTCTTTGGTCTCACTCTCTCGTTTCTCTCTCTCTCTCTTTGGTCTCTCTCTAGTCTCTCTCTCTCTCTCTCTCTGATCTTTCCCTTTATCTCACCATCTGTGGTTTTGGACGTCTATAAAAAATAAACAGTTCAAAGAGAATCTAAACATGTTTTGCCTCTGTCTCTGGTTTCTCTCTTTGGTCTCTCTCTCTGTCTCTGTCGTCTCTCTTCACTACAGACACAGTTCATGACAGAAAGATATGAGATTTTATTTATTTTATATTATGGCATTATTGTTCCTTTACCTTGTGCTGTGTGCTCCTCATTCCTACAACACTGACATTTCCCTCTTGATCCTAATCCTAATCTCTTTCACTTCTTAAAAGAAAAACCATGGATTCTTTTCCATCTTTACGACAGCTTCAAACTGTTTTTCTTTCTTCTGATCTCGTCTCAATCTTTTCATGTGTTTTTTGAGTTGATCTTCACAATAAAGTCTGTTATCTGCAAATCTGCAAATTAATCCAAGCGTCACTTCAATTATGACGAATTCTTTCGACCCCGAGGCACCGAACCCAGAACAAAACACTGAAGCAAAGACACTGGAAAAAATATGGATAATAAATAAAAAATGTGGCAAAATGTGTTTTAATTTAAGCACTTTCAGACTGAACCAATTTGCAAATGGGACAAAATGCATGGGTCCATTCTGCTCTCTCTCCTCTCTCTTCCCTCTCTCCTCTCCTCCTCTCTCCCTCTCTCTCCCCCTCTCTTCTCTCTCCCCTCTCTCTCTCTGTCTCTCCTCTCCCTCTCTCTCCCCCCTCTCCCTCTCTCTTGCCCCGCTCGCTCTGTCTCTCCTCTCCCGCTCTCTTCTCCTCTCTCTCCTCTCCCCCCCTCTCTCCGCTCTCTTGTCCCTCTCTTTCTATATATCCTCTCCCTCTCTCTCCCCTCTCTCCTCTCCCCCTCTCCCCCCACCCTCTCCCCATCTTGTCACAGACTGAATGGGAGTCGACCCCAAAGAAAACGTTTTGAACTGAAGACTTTTCTCCGTGGCCTGAATAATTCATCCTTCGTTGCGCCTCACAAAAAGAGAGAGGGAGCTGGGCCTCTCTCTCTCTTTCTCTGTGAGAGAGTGTCTTTCTCTCTATTTATCTGCTCTCTTTCTCTCTGTCTCACTGTCTCTGTCTGTCTCTCTCTCTTCTTCTAATATCCTCTTCTTCCTCCTCCTCTTCCTCTTCTTCCTCCTCCTCCTTCTCTTCCTCCTCCTTCTCTTCCTCCTCCTCCTCTTCCTCCTCCTTCTCTTCCTCCTCCTCCTCTTCCTCCTTCTCTTCCTCCTCCTTCTTTTCCTCTTCCTCCTTCTCTTCCTCCTCCTCCTCCATTGTCCGGAGCCTGAGCCTCAAACAGACTCTTTTCTTTCCTCTTGAGTTGATTCTCGTGGTGAGATAGTCCAGTGTTTTGGAGCGAGACCGAGACGTTGAGCAAATGTTTGGACGACACATTTCCAAGAGGTGGCAGAAAAAAAGACCTCATAATCAAGCTGTTTTATCATCGTGTTTGTTTAGGATTTATTGGATGTTTCAAATGTTAAAAGGTTTAGCCGCGTGTTGCAGATTTTGGAAATTAGGCTTTTCCTTTCAATGTATTTTTGTACAGTAGACATGTCAAACTCAGGCCCGTGGACCGAATCCAACCCGTAAGACCATGTTTAGTTTCCCCTGAAATGATGATCAATTATCATTATTAATTCATTACTGGTTTATGAATTAATATGAAATAATTATCATTATTGGTAATGGGATACCAGAAGCCTATTTTCTCAGGAAAATCATCTATCATTGAAGATGTTCTAAAATGTTTACTAAAATGTTTACTAAAATGTAAGAAGAAGTATAGAGTTATAGTCATTTATTTTGATTGTTGAAATATATATATATATATATATATATATATATTCAACAGTCTCCCAATCTCATTCTTGATGTTTGGTCCGGATGTGATGAATCAAAACCCAAAGGTCTAATGTCTAAGATCTTCCTTAGACCCTCCAGCCTCGGTCAGACCCTCCACCCTCGGTCAGACCCTCCAGCCTCTGTCAGACCCTCCAGCCTCGGTCAGACCCTCCACCCTCGGTCAGACCCTCCAGCCTCGGTCAGACCCTCCACCCTCGGTCAGACCCTCCAGCCTCTGTCAGACCCTCCAGCCTCGGTCAGACCCTCCACCCTCGGTCAGACCCTCCACCCTCGGTCAGACCCTCCAGCCTCGGTCAGACCCTCCACCCTCGGTTAGACCCTCCAGCCTCGGTCAGACCCTCCAGTCTCGGTTAGACCCTCCAGTCTCGGTTAGACCCTCCAGCCTCGGTCAGACCCTCCACCCTCGGTCAGACCCTCCAGCCTCGGTCAGACCCTCCACCCTCGGTTAGACCCTCCACCCTCGGTCAGACCCTCCAGCCTCGGTCAGACCCTCCACCCTCGGTTAGACCCTCCACCCTCGGTCAGACCCTCCAGTCTCGGTTAGACCCTCCACCCTCGGTCAGACCCTCCAGCCTCGGTTAGACCCTCCACCCTCGGTTAGACCCTCCACCCTCGGTCAGACCCTCCAGCCTCGGTCAGACCCTCCACCCTCGGTTAGACCCTCCACCCTCGGTCAGACCCTCCAGCCTCGGTCAGACCCTCCAGTCTCGGTTAGACCCTCCACCCTCGGTCAGACCCTCCAGCCTCGGTTAGACCCTCCACCCTCGGTTAGACCCTCCAGCCTCGGTCAGACCCTCCAGTCTCAGTTAGACCCTCCAGTCTCGGTTAGACCCTCCACCCTCGGTCAGACCCTCCAGCCTCGGTCAGACCCTCCACCCTCGGTTAGACCCTCCACCCTCGGTCAGACCCTCCAGCCTCGGTTAGACCCTCCAGCCTCGGTCACAGACGGTTGTGAATAGAGGACTCAGACTTTTGAATCTTACACTATTGAAGCAGATTTGTTTAAACTTAAAACTGTGACTTGAACAAAACACACAGCAGTGATTTCCCACTGGATGTTTTGGTCGCACACAGCATATATTTGGTCGTGTCTCTTTATAACATCATTAAAGTGTCTTCTGTACACGGCCCCAGACCCCCGCCTCGTTTGTCTTCCTCGTCAGACTGTAGAACGAGGACTGAGGCTGCATGGTTTTGTATATAAGGCAAAAACTTAGAGAGAAACGTTGCACAAAGAGAGATATTTGTACTTTTAAATCCAGAGGGAAATGAATACACTTTTATAAACATAGATATTTATATTTTGTATAATGCGTCCACCTATCTCACATGTTTATATTTATACTATTATTATCTGTAATGTATAAAGGTATCAGCAGTCCCGAGACTGAAGGCAGGAGTGGGGCTCGTAAAGCAGCAGTAACAGGGGAGAATTCTCTTGACATAATTTGCGAAGTGTGAAGCTCTTTGTGGTGGCAGCCGTGGCCAATCGCCCTGCTCTGATGACACAGATAAAAACTGAGAAAAGAGAGAGAGAGAGAAAGAGAGAGAGAGACAGAGAGAGACAGAGAGACAGAGAGAGAGAGAGAAACAGAGACAGAAAGACAGACAGAGAGAGAGAGAGACAGAGAGAGAGAAAGAGAGACAGATAGTGAGACAGAGAGAGAGAGACAGAGACAGAGAGAAACAGAGAGAGAGAGAGAGACAGAGAGAATCAATCCCCACGGACCATAGAGAAATTATCGCATCAGCTTTTATTATCTGTTTTAATGGGAATCAACACGTGTCCATGTAAATATGCCAGATTTAGTCATGAAGTCCAGTTTTTTTCTATCCCACCAGGGACCATTTATTTGAGCAGCGCATAGATAAAAATATAAAAAACATAAAAAACACATGAAACACTGCAGAAACAGAAGAATAAAACCAAAGTCCATGTCACCAACAGCTTCAGCCAACAACAAACAAACAGACCAACAGTTATTATCAAAAACCACAAACATATAAAGCAGCTGTTTATAACATCAAGGGAGAGCCCTGAGAGGTCAAAGAGAGAGAGAGAAGAGACTGAAGAGAGAGAGAGAAGAGAAACCAGAGAGAGAAAGAGAAACGAGAGAGACCAAACAGAGAGAGAAAGACCAGAGCGTGAGGGACAAGACGGGGAGAGAGAGAAGGGAGACCAGAGAGAGAGACCAAACAGAGAGACCAAAGAGAGAGAGAGAGAGACCAGAGAGGGAGAAAGAGAGAGAGAGAGAGAGAGAGAACGATCCCTAGATTGTGTAGTGTTAGCTTTAAGTTTAAAGCTGTGAATGCTAACTTTGTTTGCGGCAACAGAAACAGCCTTGTAGAAGTTTTTATCAGACCACAACACGTTTGCTTCAGACCGAGGAAGTATTAGATGGATTTGAATTAAAAAGTCGACTGGGCTGAAAGTTAGGAACCTCAGCTTTAAAACGGTCTGAAGTATTGCGTGACAAACCCTGGAGCTGCACCACTGACTGACTCTACACCCTGTCTCATAAAAGGTGTGTATTTTAATAGACAAGGAAAGACAAGGAAAGACAAGGAAGGAGGAGCCGATTGTGAATTGGGACGCAGCCATGGGCACCGTCTTCACGCTCCAGTGCGTAACTCAGGGGCCGCGTGCTGCACTTTACTTTAAGAGCAATGAAAGAGAGAGAGGTCTTAGCCACTTTTACACCACATAAAACCAACTCGAGCTCGTGCAGAAACACAAACACGGGGTAAAGGCGCGTGAGGTTTCTACCAAACTACAGAAAAGAACCGAGAAGAAAGAAGAAAGTCTCTCCATGGCCTCGCAGCAAAAAGTACATCTGTGACATGTTAGTGCCATTTGGACCAACTCGGACTCTGAGGAGCACAGGGACTTGGGCTGGTCCCAGAGTCAGGACTAAACATGGGGAGCCAGTATAAAGTAAAAGAACCAAGCATTCTTCCCAAGCCAAAGCCGTGCAGCTCACAACATTCAACACGCGTCTCTCGCTGTATGTGTCCACCGTGAGCACGCACGCACACACCGACACACACAAACGCGCGTGCACGTGTCCCGCCTCGTGCACAAAGCGTCACCTGCTGTTTGATTTACGTGGCGCGCGGACTCTGGGGGGAAGCCTCCGCTGCCACAGATCTGCTCCATAAAGGCGCAATAACAAAAGGCGACGCAACACACTCTCCACCCCCCACAGACCCACAACTGTGGCAAGGAACCAGGCCATCAGGGCTAAACTCCAACACAGAGCTACAAGTTATACAAGAGAGATAGATAGATAGATAAAGATAGATAGATAGATAAAGATAGATAGATACAAAAGATCTCTTAAAAAGTTCCGTTCTGCAGCATAGTGATAGGAGCCTGTTGCTATGGTTACTCCAAATAATAATAAAATGTTAGTTTTGTGGCCACTACATAGCTGTCCTGTCGTTACAACACTCTGAAACACCACAATAAGTTTTTCAGCCTCGAAAAAACATTCAAACTTTCATAGGATCACAAATATTTTCTACCTCAAGTTCAGCCCCTCCCACACCTGGAGATTTAGGCGCCGCCCATCACCCACACCTGAGTTAGGCTCCTCCCACACCTGCGAGTTAGGCCACTCCCACACCTCATTAATACACAGAAGTATCACAGCAGTTTCCCAAAATGCCTTCAAGATATAGATAGACAAATGCTCTGAATCTGCAGCGGAGTGATAGGATCCTGTTGCTACGGTTAGGCCCCTCCCACACCTGTGGGTTAGGCCCCTCCAACTCCTGTTGTAAACACAGAGGTCTCAGTACTCACAGCGGTCGCCGAGGATGCCCTCGATGCTGTGCTTGGCTCGACGCTCGCTCTCCTCCAATTCCTTCTTCTCCAGCTCCTCTTCGTCCTCCTCTTCATCACATTTCCCTCCAAACTTACTCCTGAGGATGCGGCTGATGGCGCTCACTGCGTTGGGGTCAGAGTGAAGAAGACGACGGGTTAGAACTCAGGCCCGGGACTTTCCGTTTGATTCAATCTATTTCAAAAAGTTTCATACCATTCAATTACATTATATTATTGTTGTTCTTTACTCAATTTTAAAAAAAACTTGTGCTGCTCTTTCCCACTGCTTTGTAACTTGTGATACAACACTGGAATTTCCCCGCTGTTGGATGTATAAAGGATCTCTATTCAAGACACTTGAATTGAATTAGTCTGGTGTGTGTGTGAATGGCTGGTGATGGTCATCTGTTAGTGTGCCCCAGGGCAGCTGTGGCTACAGTAGTAGTTAATATGGAATGATATGGAGGAAATTAAATATGTATTAATAAACACAAAAGTATATTAAAGCCGCAAGCGGCGTCGAACGGCCCTCGCCGCACCGCGCGACTCCCTGCACCGCGCGCACTCCCCGCACCACGCCGCCCTGCACCACGCCGTCCCGCACCACGCCGTCCCGCACCACGCCGTCCCGCACCACGCCGTCCCGCACCACGCCGTCCCGTACCAAGCCGCAACGCGCCGCTCCACAACGCCCCGCACTACGCCGCACCACACCGTACCACGCAGCACCGCTCAAAGGAGGTGGCGCCGCCGTGTGATGATTTGTTCCCGTAGTCATAGAAGATTGTTAGTCAAATTTGAATGAATATGATAAGTAGAGCTGGTTTGGCTCCCGATGTAAACTTTGGCTCAGTCTTTAGGGGGCGCTAATGGGCCAATTTCAAATATTTCACTTTCACCTGACCTAAACCCTGGAGTTGAACAATGGATTCAAGTTTAATGCAAATCAGACTTTGTTTGTGCAAACGGGAAAAAATTAATGTTGTCAAAAACGGCCAAAAAAACCCTCACATTTTGCCGCTTCGCTGCTCAAACAACGTTTCACTGATCAAAATTCCCTGAAGTCATTTTGAAGGTAAATGTGTTGAGATGATTTGGAACAATTTTGAGGCCAATCGGTGAAACGGCCGAGGAGGAGTCGCTTTCCAACCGACATGTATGAAAATGATTATTTTTCATTTTTCCATTTTGCAGTGAAATTTATGGGCTTTCTGTTTGTCAGAGGGCTTAGCCATAATAAAACAAGTTCAATGTCTTGACTTGAGGAACATGTGTTCCAAATTACATGGTTCTATGACAATTTTGACCTCGAACCCCTCCCATAGGCATTTTTAAATCGGCTGTTGTAGGTGGCGCTATAGAGCCAATTTCAAAATTTTAACTTTCAAATGACCTAGACCCAAGAGTTGAACCATGGATTTAAGTTTTGTGCAAATCAGACTTTGTTTGTCCAAACGGAAGCCATTTTTCTATTGTCAAAAACTGAAAAAAAATACGCCACTATTTGCCGCTCCGCTGCTCAAACAACGTTTCACTGATCATAAATCCCTGAGGTCATTTTGACGGTACATGTGTTGAGATGATGTGGAGCGATTTTGAGGCGAATAGGTGAAACGGCCGAGGCTAGTTTGATGTTTGTGTGAGGTGTACATTTGCAATGAATCTGGAGCGTTTGTCGTCGCCACGGCAACAGGGTAAAAAATAAGCCTTGGACCCTATTGACTTTTTGAATCAAGAGTGCAAAACAGATTTATGTGCAAAATTTCAAACATTTTGAAAAAACTAAATTTGAAAATGCCCATCTAAAACTTTGAAATAGTCTGTAGGGGGCGCTAATGTGTCAATGTGAATCATTTAACTTTCAAATGACCTAGACCCTAAAGTTGAACAATGTATTAAAGTTTTGTGCAAATCAGACTTTGTTTGTGCAAACGGGAGCAAATTTAATGTTGTCAAAAACGGCCAAAAAAAGGTCACATTTTGCCGCTCCGCTGCTCAAACAATGTTTCACTGATCAAAAATCCCTGAGGTCATTTTGAAGGTACATGTGTTGAGATGATGTGGAGCGATTTTGAGGCGAATCGGTGAAACGGCCGAGGAGGAGTCGCTTTCCAACCGACATGTATGAAAACTTTTGCTGTTCATTTTTCCATTTTGCAGTGAAATTTATGGGCTTCCTGTTTGTCAGAGGGCGGAGCCATAATAATATTTTTTTCATGTCTTGACTCAAGGAACATGTGTACCAAATCTCATGTTTCTACGACAAACTTGACCTCCAAAAAGTCCCATAGGGGTATTATTTTGGCTGTTGTAGGTGGCGCTGTTCTGGCATTTTTTGAGTCCCATAAAAATAAACACCAAAATATCAAATTTTTCGCCAGGTCTGATTTTTGGGCCAAAATTAACAACTTTTCATGCATGTTCAGGGGGTCAAATTAAGGCTCAAAGTGCAGAAGAAAAAAGAAAGAAAGAAATAAATAAAAAAGGAATTTTTTTTTTAACGTCTCGAGCAAAAACAATATAGGTTTCAATGGCATGTGATACATCATTTTAAAGCTTTTGAGTTTACGCACGCAACTGTCACATTTTGGTGAGTGACGGGCGCTGACGCGTCCGTCACGCACCGCCACCATTTGTTTTCACCATTGTGAAAGCAATAGGCCCTTACCCCGTTCGGGGCTCGGGCCTAATTAAATGCAAAATATAAAGAGCTATCGTACTTTCTAGACCAGTGTCTCCCAAAGTGGGGTCCGCGGCCCCCTGGTGGGCCGCGTGGGTACTGCAGGGGGGCCGCGGGAGGTCATAAAAAAAAAATATATATATATATAATTATTTAATGTTAAATTTATAATGTTTTGTTTGTAATATTAAAATATTTGTGTTCATTATTTGACTTGAATAAGCCACTGTAATCATTTTTGTATTACAATGTTTGTAGCAGAGGCTATTTCCCCAAAATAAAATAACCAGAAGAGCCTATTCTTAATGTTGTCTTCTTGGTTATTATTTTGGGGGGCCACGCAGACCCGTCAGATTTTTAAGGGGGCCTCGGTGTTACTGAGTTTGGGAATGGCTGTTCTAGACTATCATGCGCACCTGTATATAAGCCGCACCAGCAAAAACACTACAATTTTGAAATAAATTACATATAAAAGCCGCACCTGAATATAAGCCGCAGTTTTTCATGTTGTAATGTAGCAGAGAGATGACTGTTTTAACTGGACACAACACTATTAGATTAACCATTAGCTTCCATCACTCATTCTCCTTCTGTTTTGTGTCCTAGAGCTACTAAAACCAGGAGTCAAAATAATAAGTCCGAAAACTCTGCTCTGACAACAGCTTAACTTTATAACAATAAAAATACACACATAAGCCGCATCGCTGTATAAGCCTCAGCGTTCAAACAACTAGAAAAACGTAGGGGTCAGAGCAAAAATTTAAACACAGCAAAAAATGATCAAATATGAGGTGATAAATGCTTAAATCCTGGTTTTGATCTTAATCTGAATTCATTCTGACTGTATTAAACAAAACCATTTAGTCTTATTTCGAGAGAGACATGTTTTGCATCTTTTTGTCAAAATTTGAGCAATGTATTACTTATGTTTCTTACTTCCTCTCGGTCCTGTTTCTGTCCGAGTGTGATCTCACCTGACGGGACGGTGTTGCGGTCGCATATACCCTCCTTCAGCAGCCGGTCCCTGATCTCCCAGCTGAACATGGCCGGACTGTGGCGTTTGTAGTCCTCGATGTGTTTCTCAATATCCGGTGTGGCTCCCTGCTGCAGAGAGCACAGAGGAGAGGAGAGTATAAATTATATACACATCAACATACAGCAATAACAGTTTGAGGAAAGGCTAACAAATGCTAAATGCTAAATGTAAACAGTGTGTTGCTTGTCGGCTGGTGAGCACAGGTACAGGTTTGTGGACTGACTTTAAACCCAGGACCTAAAACATTTTTAAGTGATATTTTTACCTTTAAAATGTAATACACTTCTGTCTTTTGCACAATCTGAGTGATTCTATCTGTGACAAATATACATTTCTCCATCAGAGATCAATAAAGTTTATCTTATAAGTCACATTTCACATTCAGCTCTGAGGTCTCTGAGGAGCACAGGGACTGGTCTCCTGCTGGGACTCTGAGGAGCACAGGGACTGGCCTCCTGCTGTGATCCTGAGGAGCACAGGGACTGGCCTCTTGCTGGGACTCTGAGGAGCACAGGGACTGGCCTCTTGCTGGTCCCAGAGTCCTGCAGGTGAAAGTCAGTTTCTATCTTGTTTGTTTGAGTTTCCTGTGTATAAACTGTGCTATACAAAAACATTGCACATTTGGTGGTTCCAAAGTCCTGTACTCCAGCTTTAAAACACATAACTTTAATGTAGTATCTTACAGTTTCAGTTCACAGCTGTAGTGAATATAAAGTTTAACATAGACCTGTCTTGTCCAGAATAAGGGTCTAAACTGGGACTACACTGCAAAAAGTGTTGAAAAGTAAGTTAAAAAGTGCTCAAATTCTGGGAAAACGTATCTCAATTTGAGCACATTCTGCCTTAAAACCAGATTTACCAATAGGACAAAGAGCAAAATGATCTAGTTTTAAAAAGATATAAGACATGTCTCGCTTGGAATAAGAAAATAAAGCAACAGGTCTTGAAATAAGTCTAAGTCCCATTTTAGAATCTGGTTTTAACACAGTCAGAAACACTGAATTCAAGCCTTTATTACCTTGTATTTTATCATTTTTTGCAGTGTGGAGTTAAACTGGGACTACAGAGTTTAATAATATCTAGTTCTAAATGAGGATTAACCGAACATCTGGACAAAATATGTTTAAAATATATGAAAAAACCATAAATACAGACCAGAGTCCCACCCACCGCTCTGGTCCTGCTTTATCGCCTTGTGTGGCCTGAGGCTGAGACCTGAGACATAACTGTGCATTCTTACAGGTCTCTACAGCTGAGGCCAGGTTATTGGTATAGCGCACTTCATACACAAGAAACTCAAGGATAGACACAGCAACAAGGCAAAAAAATAATAAAAACTTACAAAACTGAGACGACCGAGTTCTATTGGTGTCGGTACAAAACGCTAAATCTGCCGCTAGAAATACTTAAAGCTGGGGTATGTAACTTCCAAATGATAACATTTACCTGTAACTAGTTCCTTGCTTTGAAAATAGTTTGGTATGTATATGTTTGGTCTCTGTCACATGTTTAAATCAGTTTTATCAGAGAAAAAGGTGAAAAAGAGAGACCCCCTTTACTGTCACTTTACTAAATGTCTATTGTGTGTATTTTTTATTTTAATTTTGAGCCTTATTCTATGTTTACTTGTTTGCACCGAGAGTCAAAGCAAATTCCTTATAGTTTTGTGACTTCCTGAAACTCATAATGGCAATAAAAAGAATTGTACACTGCAAAAAATGATTTGATATGGAATAATGAGAATTCTACAGTTTTTAGCTTTTCTATAGTATTAATAAATAGCTCGGCTGTTCTCTTTAATACATGCTAAAACTGGTTAATGTGGACAACATATAGCAAAACTAACTCAAGCTAACGATGCATGTAAACAGTGTGTTGCTATGGTAACTAGCACGTGCTGCCCAGAGCCAGTCTGGATCATTTCATAAACTTTATGATCTACATTTAGATAAAGGAAAAAGTGACAAAGTTACGAAGACCACAAACGCACATAAGCGGAGTATTTACACTTACAAAAAACTAAAATCCGTCAAATTGAATGCTCTGTGAGTTCTTGTAAAGTTGAGTTCAAACAGACAAATGCAGCCGTGCCCGCTCACTCTCAGCGGGATCGTGTTTTTTCCAAAGTACAGCATTATACGGTCCGATCATCCATCCATCACCCAGGACCCCCACCGCACCCCCGGGCCTTTCATGGACCCGCGCTCTGGCCTCTCACCTTGGGCTTGCTTCCCCCGATGGCCCCGGGTCGTATGGAGCCCGTCTCCTGGTAGCGGCAGAGGATCTTGGAGACGCAGCCGTGGGAGACGCGCAGCTGACGTGAGATGACGCACGGACGGACGCCGTGATGCGCCATCTCCACGATCTTGTGCCGGATGTGGTTCGGGAGCGGGCGGCCGTTGATGAAGACACCGCCGAGCTGGTTCACGCGGCCCTGACCGAGCGGCGTGGACACTGGGGGAGGAGGAGGGGGGTCATGGGATGTAGTTGTCGCGAGCGGGTAAAAAACACTTTGTAATATTATAGTACAGGAAAACCAGTGCGTAAAAGAGATTGGACACGAGGACTCCCAGAATTCTGAAGCTATACTTGAACTCCTAAAGCAGTCACATTGACGGCTCCCGTTCAAAAAACGGAATTCTACAGTTTCAAGTTTTAATTTGAGTTAATTCCAAATGTTCTTAACACTTGGACTCCCAGAATTCTGAAGCAACTCCCGGAGCAGTCATTTTGACGGCTATACCATTCAAATTAACTTTTCTATAGTATTAATTAGTAGTAAGTTGTTCGGCTGTTATCTTTAATACAAGCTAAAACTGGTTAATATAAACAAAATATAGCAAAACTATCTCAAGCTAACGATGCTAGTAAACAGTGTGTTGCTATGGTAACTAGCACGTGCTCCCAGCTGCTCCAGAGTTATTTACAGTTAGACCTAAGTTGCCAATATTATTACTATTATCTTTATTATTGCTCATTTAAATACATGTATTAATTATTTCTGTAATAGGCTCAAATGTGCCCTCGTGTGTGTCTGATATTTATTATTATTTTTTTAGTATTTTTTAGCATTATTTTTGGCTGTTTGAAAAACTACATTATGTGTCTCCTGCCTCAGCATCGGCCTTTTAAAAAACACACAACACATTTGACAGAGTGGAAAAAGATTTTAAAACTAAAGGGAATAAACAATGAAGAAACCAATCCTGGGGCTAAGTCTAAAGAATTAGAATAGAGACATAATAATCACATTGTTACGCTTATATTTAAACTATTATTAATATATATGACACATATTTAAAATCATTATAAACATATTTACTTCACAATTCTCTTGAAAAGTCAAATGTTTGGTAAAAGTGAGATTGCTTGGTTTTTCCCATATTTTGTCTTATGAGTTTAGATATTACTTATTTGCATTCCACTGCACCTGGGCCAAATATCAACAAGAGAAAAAGATGGAACACTAATATATACTTTTTCATTTCATTTACTAACTATTTCAAATCAAAAACAATTCACATGTCATTCAACAAGTACAACATGCCACAGTATAGCTGCAAATGACTGCGATAAAAATCATTGAAAATCCTTTCGGGGACCGCTTGAAAATTGAGAAATTAGAGAATAGCTTCAGACAAATCAGAGAAAAGATTAGACATCGAGAGAGCCGAGACTGAGACTGTATAAATTCTGAAATCGTCTTTTTTACGATTTAGTTATACTTTTCCGTTTGGTAGCATTCAGACAAACTATATAATCATCAAAATAATAGTTGTGTGTCTACGTGTGGTATTTTATCACGTAAAAGGACTCGAAATTATAGGAAAAAAATGTCCAAATTGAGGGAAAAATACGTAAAAAACGTCCCATGAAGCGGGTTGATATAGACTAATACAACACGACACTGAAGAATACATAATACTTATACACATTAGCAGACAAAAGTATCTATAACTATTGTAGTATTGTCAAGTACTTTACTGTATTTTCAAAGTTTCTCATACACGCGGAATTTTGGGACATTTATTGAACCCAATATTTAGACTTTTACGCAAACAAACAAACAGTAGTATTTATTGAACGGTCACAATCCAGTCTAAACAATAGCACTACATTGAATTAAGTTTATCAATTATATACAACATGACAGATTTATGTGAAAAAGTCTTAATTTTCTCATTTAATTCCATTACTTTCGTTTAGTATAAAGTCTAAGGTGTTTTTTAGACATAGTAAAGTTAAGTAATTCTCGCTACAACCTTTCTGTGTTACTCCACATGTTGTTTTTATTAGTATTATTATCTATATAGTGCATTTATTTGAGTAAAAACAAACAGGAAACGAAATATGTTCTTGTTGCTGTAAGTCTGAGTGTGTTTGTCTAAAGCATTAAATATCTCATAATATTAATTTAAGCGTGGAGTTTTTTTATATCTAGATTCATTGTATATTCCTAATACATGTACAGTATATAATCTTTACCCGCGCACACGGCTGACATGAGGCCGACCCGGGTCCATGTTCGGGGCATGACTAGACCTGGATCCGGCCCCGTTTTCAGTTCTTGTTCCTCGTTATTACGTAAATGTATCTTAATTTTTCTAATCTGCATCAGGGGAATTAACAAATTTGAACAAGCGTGCACTTACAATAAATGAATCAAATGTGTAAAAAAAATCAAAAAAATAAAGTTGTTATTCTCTGGCTACAATCTCCATGTTGAGAAAGGTGAAGAAGAGGTGAAACTTTAAATGTATAGCACTTTTTAATATTATTTATTCATGTATTTATAACATTTTTTACTGTTTTATAACTTTGTCTGCACCATGAGCCAAAGAAAGTTTATATTTAGTTTGTGACTTTCTGTTACGTGGAAAAAACAAGGATTCTGGACTTTTTGTTAGAATTATACAACACCACAAATCATGCCTCTGATTCTTAAATATATTTGTCTATTCCCAAAAAAACTTGGTAACGAGTACGTTCAAAGCCTTAACGTACTGCTTTTTGCAAATGTTCTTTTCAATTCCATATTCACGTTTTCCCACGCGTAAGGCCAGTTTTCTCACTTTATGTTCCACCAAACTTCAAAGCAAAAAGTTAGAATTATAGAAAGAATAACTTGCGTTTTGAGTTCAATATAAGAAATATTATTTTAAAAATCTCAGTACATAGAAATATCTTACATCTACTCATAAACAATGACTGGAGCGGAGGAAAACATTTAGAAAAGAGCCAGAAAAGCCTCAATAATCAGTCAGAGATAATAATTCTAATAGGACTAGATTTTGTGCGTAAATCTATTAATTTCGCTACTTTTCTTTACCTTCCAATGGGAAGCCGCCGCGGTAGTTCTGGGCCAGAGTCGGTCGCATCATCCTGGGTATAGACCCGGCCAACGCGCTCATAACCTGAAGCCCCTCCAACGCGGGAGAGAGCTGGTGATGTCAAAACCACTGCGCTCTCTGTGCGTAAAACACACACACAGACGTCTCCAAACGCCTCCAAAAGCCTCCAAACCCAAACCGAATCCCAAGTGCAAACGTGTGTATAAGTCCAAACGTCGTGTCCAAGAAGAAAAGTGTCGTTTTGTGGGTTTTTTCTCTTATTACAATCCGTGAAATGTACAGAACCAAAAAAGAAGCGACGCACGAAGTTGTTGTGTTGTTTGTTTGTTGACGCAGGCTTCGGTTGTGTGTGAGTGCGTCAAAAAGTACAGCGGGGTCTTGGCTTGTCCCACGTCGGGCTTCTGCTCCTGATTGGTCCGGAGTGAAACTCAGAGACAGAGGGCGGTGACTGAGAGAGCTGCGAGAGGGGAAACTTTCAGCCAATCAGCGCAGTCCTTGGATAAAGAACGGGATGGACGCGTAAAGTGAAGTATTGACCCGAGCGCTTTCCTGGAAACGTTTGTGAAATATTGATCAGTTTTGCGTAAGGATGATATAGTGCTGGGACATAGCATCGGCCTCTTCGGCGGGATAGAGGCAAAGTGTGTTAGAAGTCATTTTTAATAATAATATTAATTATACATTTGATTTATAGGCGCATTTATAGATACTCAGGGTCGCCTTCTAACAAGTAAAAAGTACATTTATGTTTACAGAATGTTAAATACAAGATAAAAGAACAGAGGATGGTGTCGTTATGGTGTAGACTTTATATCAGATGAGTTTTGTGGCCGCATTTGATGTATGTTTTGTGTTTTTATTAAAAACTCTTGTTCTAAAGCAGCTAGTTTCGTGTGTAAGTGAGTTCCTGCGTGGATCAAGTTTGTGTACATGTCCTAGATAACTATTAAAATTCAACTTTATTTCAATTTAAATTCATTTTATTTGTGTGTATAGCCCTAAATCAACAGCAGTCATCTTTGGGGGGACTTTACAAAGTTGATTCTTCAACAACAGATCAGTTCGAACACATAATGCACTAATACTAAACACATTTATGAGCCGTTGGTCCATAGGGAGCGGGATAAAGATGTCCTGGATCATTACTGTCCTTAGACCCTGCAGCATCTGTAAAGAACCACTCAAAAACCCAGTGGGAAAAACGTGAGAAACCTCAAGGAGACGCACTGAGATGGCGTAGACCCAGGACCTCCGTCTGCTCTCATGAAATACATATACACATTATAGCCTGAATACATTATGTGTGATTTGACATAAAAACGTAAACGTGACGTAAAATATATGAATAGTTAAAGTTAATTCTAAAATATCACCACAGTCCAAGCAAATAAATGTACTCAGGTTTGGATGGAATTTACCGTCGGTTATTCACATCAGAAAGATGTATTGAGTTCTTGAAAATGTCTATATTTTCTGTGAATATCTGCGCATGCGTCACTCCACTAACTTACCTTATAACTAAATTACTTTACAACCTTATAACAACCGTATACACCTTAAAACGTGTCGTATTTTATAACCGCTGAACTCACTGAAAACTTTAACTCTTTCTTCTAACGAGACAAAAGTGTAAAGCAGAGTTCATGTCTCTCTGTAACTTTCTGAACATATAAACTGCGTAAACCTGCCGCGGCTGCAGCTGACCTCTCAATAGTCGCAGCTAATATCTGTGTGTTTGTCTGAAAGAGCTGCGTCAGTGCGCAAGGGGCGTTCGTCACCGCGGGGTACGACGCCACACGGCCCTAAAGAGTCTGCGCCACGAGTCCATCCACATTCATCCATCCATCCATCCATCCATCCACATGCATTCATCCATCCATCCATCCATCCACATGCATTCATCCATCCATCCATCCACATTCATCCATCCATCCATCCATCCATCCACATGCATTCATTCATCCATCCATCCATCCATCCATCCATCCATCCACATTCATCCATCCATCCACATTCATCCATCCATCCACATGCATTCATTCATCCATCCATCCATCCATCCACATGCATTCATTCATCCATCCATCCATCCATCCACATTCATCCATGCATCCACATTCATCCATCCGTCCACATGCATTCATTCATCCATCCACATTCATCCATCCATCCATCCACATGCATTCATTCATCCATCCATCCATCCATCCACATGCATTCATTCATCCATCCATCCATCCACATGCATTCATCCATCCATCTATTCACATCCATCCATCCACATGCTTTCATTCATCAATCCATCCATCCATCCATCCACATGCATTAATTCATCTATCCATCCATCCATCCACATGCATTCATCCATCCATCCACATACATTCATTCATCCATCCACATACATTCATCCATCCATCCACATGCATTCATTCATCAATCCATCCATCCATCCACATGCATTCATCCATCCATCCATTCATCCACATGCATCCATTCATCCATCCATCCACATGCATCCATCCATCCATCCACATGCATTCATTCATCAATCCATCCATTCATCCATCCATCCATCCACATGCATTCATCCATCCATCCACATACATTCATCCATCCATCCATCCACTTGCATTCATCCACATGCATTCATCCATCCATCAATCCATCCATGCATTCGTCCATCCATCCATCCACATCCATCCATCCATCCACATGCATTCATCCATCCATCCACATACATTCATCCATCCATCCATCCACATGCATTCATCCATCCATCAATCCATCCATGCATTCGTCCATCCATCCATCCATCCACATCCATCCATCCATCCACATGCATTCATCCATCCACATGCATTCATCCATCCATCAATCCATCCATCCATTCATCCATATACATACATTCATCCATACATTCATTCATCCATCTCTCCATCCATCCACATACATTCATCCATCCAAATCCATCCATTCATTCATACTGTCAGGAATGAACCAGACTGAGACGGATCGTGGTGCGCTATGGTCTGGAAGTTTATTTAGGTTTCTCTCAAGTTCCAGTGGTTTCTGATGTTTCTTTCTCTCAGACCAAAATGGAGTCCGTACATGTTATATATTCATTGTTACGTCACACATCGAAAGACATACGTGTCACACAGAGACAGAGCATATCATAGTCAAAACATGGATGCACCATCAGAGTCCTTGTATAGTCTTGCAGTTGTCCTGCTCGTAGGCCAAATAGCTATCTAATCCTCACAATACATACATCCATCCATAGATTCATCTATCCATACAAACATTCATCCATCCATCCATTTTCTTCCCCTTGATCCATTTATTTAATCCACCCTGCAGTCCACAGCAGGTGGGAGAGCATATAGCCTTGATCTTTCAGTGGGGGCTTCACGCAAAGTGTCTTGCCCAAGGACACAGCAGACTCTAACCCACAACCTTCAGGCTCAAAGACAACTGCTTTACCAACTGAGCCACTGTCCATCCATCCATCCTTTTTGAGTTTTCTGTTCAGTTACAAATTAATTTTTTGCATTGCGCTAAATCACAACAGTAGGACTTTACAAAGCTGTCGATTCGCCGACAGCAGATCAGAAAATCAGACCGGTCACACAAGAGGCAGAGACCAATGAATGAATGTCCTGGATCATCACAAAGGCCGAGAGAAACCGAGGACTTTTCAACCGGGACTATTTCAGCTTGTTTCCATGTGTAATCAGAGCCAATTGGTTATAAAAGGCCCAAACTACAGGATGTCAACTTCTTAGAGAGTTCCTCCATTTATCTGTGCTCCAAAGCGCTCATGTGCAATAACGTGCAATAATGTCAGAATGTGCAACACAGAACCACATGTTTCCCAGACCCTGAAGCTGCGACAAATGTTAACAAGGCAAGTTTATCTGTATAGCACAATTTCATACACACGGCAACTCAAAGTCTTAATCATAAATAATCACAGTACATTAGAAAAAAATATAGAATCCCTCAGTTGTATGCACAGCTAAACAGAACTGTTTTTAACCTGGTTTTAAACATTGTCAGAGAGGAGGCCTGTCTCACATCTTCAGGAAGATTGTTCCAGATTTTAGCAGCATGAATCTGAAAAGCAGCCTCCTCATGTTTAGTCCTGACTCTGGGACCAGCAGGAGTCCAGTCCCTGTGCTCCTCAGAGTCCCAGCAGGAGCCCAGTCCCAGTGTGATGGTACTTCCTGGTTCTAGTCAGGACGAATGTGATCATCCTGGTAAACACACAACTTCATGTTTATTGCACTATAATATACAGGATTTTATGTTTGCTTTTGTATTGTTAAGATTGAGAATAAAGAAGCAAGTCTAAAATCTCTAACTTTGACATTATGATGAGAAGAGACCCTCGCCTGTGCTTGTATCGAATCTAAATCCTAACTTCCCTAAAGCACATCAGCAGATCCCCGTGAAGCGGCTTGAGGCTCCGCTTCTTTCAGTCCCGTCTTTTAGCGTTGTTTGTTTTTCTTTTTGTTTTTGGTTCTAAATGTTGTGTTTGCGTCGCGCTCAAAGGAACAGCCGCGTTTATCTCCGCGCTGCAGGAGGTCTTTGTCTCTGCTCCACCGGGATCTGATCAAAGAGAGACCGAGGAAACGAGTTCGGACAGAGATGAGGTGAGAATATAGACAGAAAATATATGACATCTATCTATCTATCTATCTATCTATCTATCTTTCTATCTATCTATCTTAGTATCTATCTATCTCATACATATCTCTCATTTCTATTGGATTCACAGCTGTTTTGAGAGTCACGTTTGTTTTCATTGAAAAAGCAGCAAAGTAGGAATGATCTATTACGCAAGAGAGATTTTATACTTGCTTCTTTATAATGCAGATATTTTATTGTTAATGTAATTTGTCTTGTGCTGCCTGCTCCTAATTCTGTAACTTGTGATGCAACACTGGAAATTCCCCGCTGTGGGACCAATAAAGAATCTCCTAATCTCAATCTAGGAAAAAAAAGATATATACAAAACCTGAACAGCTATCATTTGGATTTGGGATGGCTGACAACGT